CCGTGTCCCCTGCATCGGCAGGCGGACTCTCAACCACTGCGCCACCAGGGAAGCCCCTTTTTAGCCTTTTTAATGCGTGACTCACAGTCTCTGTTTATTGAACAGTGCCGTGGAGCTAGATGGAGCCTTCCTTGCGGGTGTAGAACCATATCAGGGTCCTGGTTTGGCTGGGGCAGGTCCCAAGGGTCAAAAAGGCTATGAAGCCAAGGACCCGGCATCAGGTTCTTAGGCCAGATCCGGCCCATCCTCAAAACTCTCGGCAGGACTTGATGCCCAGACTTGAATCTCCCTTTGCCTCTACTTCTGTTTCCTCTCTACCTGCTTGGATCAATCAGGGTCCCCAGCCTGCTGGGAACTCCCTTACTGACTACCCTTTCACCCTCAGCCAGATTCTCAGTGATCCCAGCAGCTGCAAGCCTTCTCTTTCTCCACTTCCGTTTCAAGCCTGACCCTAATAGCCACACACGTGATGGAAATCACCAGCCAATTTTTAGGAGGAGAAAGCTCAAGGGGGTGGGAGAAATGTCAACAAGGAATTGGTCTTACGGAGCACGTCATTCATTCATCCATTCAACTAAAAGTAGCAATCACAACTAGCACTTATTGAGTGTCTACTATGTGAAGGCGTTGTTCTAAGTGCTGTCCATGTACTGACACAACAAATATTTATCTAGCATCCATCGGGCACTGTGCTAGGGGCTGGGAATCAGCAGGGAGCAAGAGAGATAAGGGCCTGTCCTCGTGGAAAGGAAAGGAAAGTAAGAAGAAAAGGGGAAAGGAAGGAAGGAAGGAAGGAAGAGAAAGAGAGAAAGAAAAGAGGGAAGGAAGGAAAGAAGGAAGAAACGAAGGAAGAAAGAAGTTGAGGCACCTGGGGTGACACCTCAGCAGCAGTGAGCACCCAGCATCTACATCTTGGTTTCTAAATACTATTCTCCAATAAAAGGAACCAGGACTCCTTGGAGAAATGGCTGATTCCAGGGCTGGGTCAGGAAAAGTACAAAGTGAGCCTGGAAGATCTTCTAGTGCCAGAAAATGAGGACATGCTCAAAACAAACAAACAAACAAAAAAATGACAAGTGCATGTAAAAAGGACCCAGGATGGAGTCCTGGAGCTTGATGGAGTCGATGGAGCTCCCAATGGCCAAATCAGGGACAATTGGAGCCACAAAGTAAATAATGACAGCAATGGATTGTAACCTATAAAATAAATATCCCTGAGTTCATACTAAGACAAATAATAATTGAATAAAGAGATAAACAGGGAGAAGGGACAATGCTTCCTTATAGCACAATTCCAATCAATAAATCCAGAAAGTTACAGATAAAACAATAAAAAATAAATCCAGAAAGAATGATGCAACTAGAAAATGACCCTAAGAATCGTCAATGGTCATCAATAGATGCTAAAATTAGTGGGAGGAGTATAACGGAAAACAAGATATTTACATGAGCTCTAAGTATATCCCCGTAAGATAATTATTAATGACAAAGAGGAAAGGAGTAATTGGACAGTGGAGAAACCTGGCAGACACCTCCTTAAGCAAGTGGTCGAAGTTAACATCACCAGCGTTGGGACAAACTGACATCTCAGTACCTCCTGAGGCAATGACTGAGAGGGGCACAACATTGCTTCCTTGGGGTTCCTGCCAAAACTGCCCAAGCTGAATAAAATCATGAATAAACATCGGAAAACCCCAAACCAAAGAACACGCTTCAAAATAATTGGCCAGTTCTCTTCAAAAGTGTCAAGGTTGTGAAAGACATAAATCAAAGAAGCATCTCTGATTGAAGGATGCTAAAGAGACGTGACAACTAAGTGTGATGTGTGATCCTGGATTGGATCCTTGACCAGAAAGGAAACATTACTGGGACAACTAGTGAAATCTGCATAGGATTTGTAGACTAATTCTAACATGGGATCGGTGTTAATTTCCTGGTTTTGATCACTGTACTATACATCTTTGCAAGATGTTAACCTTTGTGGAAACCAGGTATACTAGAGCCCTTTCTACTGCTCTGGCAAAATTTCTGTTAAGTCTGAAATGATATCAACTTGAAAAGGCAAAAAGTAAAAGTAAATAAAAAACAGCAAGCAGGTAAGTAATTGAGAGAGGTGATGAGTGCTGCACAGGGGAGATGGGAAGGGGTAAATAGCAGAAGGGAATGTTTGATATCAGCCTGCCAGGAAACACCGATTATGCTGAGACCCCAGTGAATGGGAAGCACCCAGCTCAAAGCAGAGGGAGAGGTGCTCTGGCCGAGGAACAGCATTGCAACAGCCCTGAGGCAGGAAGAGTTTGCTATTCATCCCTAGGAACACACAATAGAATCATGGGGGGGGGGGGATCCGATGTATGACCCTGGAAAGACAGGAAGACAACCGATGTTGAAGGGCCCTGGAGATCATAATGAAAAGCGTGGAATGTTACTCCAAGAGTGTTAGGAAGTTTTTGGCCATTGTGTAAATTTCCTTTGAGACGCTTAACGATTCTTTGAAATTATAATCCATAGTGGGACTACCTGATTAATGCCAGCCTCTCCGAGAGAACAGGAACTCCGGCCATCATGTGCCGCTTTACACAGGCATGTAACAGCCATGCAAGGTTCATGTGGGGGAGGAGTAGATGGACAAAGGTTAGGTTGCTGGGAGACCTGGGTGGCCCTTGGTATCGGTTGTGAATTGAATTGCGTCCCCAAAAAGATATGTTCGATCCTAACCCCTGGTACCTGTGAATGTGACCGTATTTGGAAATAAGGTCTTTACAGATGTAGATGCAGTCATATTGGATCAGGGTGGACCTGAATCCAGTGACTGGTATCTTTATAAGAGAAAGAGAGGGAGGTTTGGATACAGAGCTGCAGACACACAGAGAAGAAAGACGGCCCTGTGACGACAGAGGCAGAGATTGAAGGGATGCAGCTATGAGCCAAGGATGCTTGGAACCCCCAGAACCTGGAAGAGGCAGGAAGGACCCTCCCCCAGAGTCTCAGGAGAGAACGCGGCCCTGCCCACCCCTTGATTTCAGACTTCTGGTCTCCAGACTGTGAGAGAATAATGTCCTGCTGTTTTCGGTCCCCCAGTTTGCTGTCCTTTGTGGTGGTGGCTCCAGATCACACAGCCATGAGGGGAAGTGATGGGTTAACCTCCATCTCCCCCTCTTCGTTCTGTGCACCCCCCTCAGGCTATTGACCACGTTTACTTATTAAATAGTTACTTATTAAATATTATTTAAAGTATTACTTAATTTTTTAAAATCCAGTTCAGACCAAGCCCCTTTTAAAACTCAGTCTTGTCCTTGGCAATGTGGGCTGTGAAAGCACAATTTTGCTACGGTAACTGCAGCTGCTTTTTAACACCCCCTAAAATCGATGCATAACCGCTGGAATAAGAAATGCTCACCACTGCACCTAAAATCACCTGGCACACCTCCCAGAACCTCAGAACAAGACAATTAGGATGGGGTGGGGGGACAAAAAACAGTGCTTTTCTTTTGCTTTTTGCCCCTAAAAGAAAGGTATCTGAAGACCTGATTATTTCTCCATCTGCTCTGGCTACAAACCCCATGTCTTTTCTCCACGCCTCCCACCCCCACCCCCATTGATTCAGGCCTACGCTTTTCACGTTCTTTGAAGAAAACACGGATGGTGGACCTGGGTGTACATCTTCTCCCAAGGCTCCATTTTTCATCTGGAAAATGAAGATAATCACGTCCATCTAATAGAAGTGTTGTGAACAGTAGATAAGAAAAGGGAAGTAGATAAGAAAAGGGCAGATACTTTTTATTCTACTTATACAAAATATCCAGGATAGGCAAATCCATAGAGACAGAAAGCAGATTACTGGCTGCTAGGGTTTGAGAGGAGAGAGGCATGGAGAGTGACTGCTGATGGGTACGGAGTTTCCTTTTGGGGTCATGAAAAGTTCTGGAACTAGACAGAGCTGATGTTGGCATAGCCTGGTGAACATCTTAAATGCCACCGAATCTTCATTGTATGCTTTAAAATGGTTAAAATGGTGACTTTTACGTTAGGTGTATTTTACCATATTTTATTTGTTAATTGGATAAGAAGCATCTGCCTGGGGTAGGGTGGCCAAGTCTCTCCACCCTCTGAACCTCAGTTTCTTCATCTGCAAAATGGGGGCATTGACTGAACCTGGACCATGGGCAGTTGTGCAGATGACACCTGCTGGTCCGTAGGTATGGCCGCCACCTGGAAGCACTCCATCAGTGCACTGACAGGCTGCCTCCCCTGGGATTCCTGGGTGAGACAACCTCCGCTCAAGACAGACTCCAAGGTCTCCCTCCCCGCTAAGACCCCAGGCAGGTTCCACATGATGTTTGCCATGTAGCCTGCTCCTGGCATTCTGACTCATGATCATACAACAGGCTGGAGCAGATCATATTTTCAACCCCAGTAGCCTGGTCTGAGCAATTCGACGCTCTGGATTTAATTCTGCAGGTAATTTGAACGATGCGATCTAATTTCAAATGTCCTGCTCTTATGAGTGCAAAAGCAGCATAATTTTTAATTAGTGGGTAAACAGTAAATAATGGATGGCGGTAAGTGGACACCACTGTTAATTAAAAATCCATGGTTGATAAAAATCAATTTGGCCCACGCATTTAACTCAGTCTATCAGGTCCCCAGGAAAAGTTGTGCAAGCCGGCCCAGGGCACCATCTGCTTTCAGTTGTGGTTCCCTGAGCTCAGACTTTTCTAGGGGAGAAAAGAGGGAGAGAAAGGAAAGAAAATCTATAAGCTACCTCCAAAGCTGGGACTGGAAACATTTCGTGTGTTCATTTCTAATTGGTTGGCCTCATTTTTGCAACCCTGAAGTTGAATCTTCAGCCGAGAGGCAGCGTCACGCTCCACTCGGGTTTTTACAAAGAAGGGCTCCAGTTGTGTTTTGTATTTTGCATGTACGTGTTCTGAATATGGTGAGATTTCACCGTATCTCTTTGTCTCCTGACTTAATTAAATCCCCATCTCTCGCAGAAAAGCAAGACAAACTAAAACACACTTAGCGGGAACACACTATCTCAGTATTCGTGTCAAAATACGTCGTGAAGGCGACATCTCTTCGAAGTGCCTTCAGAGGGAGTACCTGGGGGAAAGGTTCGTTTCCTTTTGAACAGAAAACATTTCCTCAAGAAATCAAGCTTTGTGGAAACAGCGCCAATGTCATATTCGGGGCCTGTTCACGGTTTTGCTCTGAGACATCAGCTTGATTTTCCTACCAGGCAAATAACACCCACCCGCTTTTGACCTTTTTCTTCCCTTTGCTCCCATATATTCCCCAAATCAACACTTGCATTGTCAAGCTTCCCTGACAACCAGTGATGTTCAAATTAACCCGCAGAATTGGATCCAGGGGACCCAGAGGGTCCGGGTGAAGTTGATTTCAGGAGCACAAGAAGGCGTGAGCAGTGGACGCGGATGCATGTATGTCCCAGCTCAGGATTCCCGACGCGGCCATGCTGGGCGTTTGGCCCAACGTGGATGCCAATCCATCCACCCCAACATCCTGGCTCTGATCCCCAAAAGGCTAGATGTGCCTGAGTTAACACAGAACCACTCTTTCAAGACTCCCCTCGGCGTGGACTCACTGCAGAATGGCCCTGAGAGCCTTCGGGGCAGCCCAAGTGCCCACTGTCCGTGGGGACACCACAGCCCTGGTACATTGGTTGTTTATTTTCATCTCTCTTATTTGGCTGTTTAAAGCCTGTAAATCAGGTGTAGGATACAGCAGGA